GAGACCAAACATAGGGCAGGTGCAGAGCATCCTGGATCTCTCCCTCCTGGTTTTCCAGTGGGATTCTGTCCTTTCACTGAGCCAAAAGGACTAGTTCCTTTTCTTCTCTGTTAATTTCTCTCCTACTGGCAGGTGACTTGAAGGTGCCTCATGAGCCGGGCACATGTCCGTGGAGCACAGTGGCAACTCCATCATGAGGTTGGCCCCATAAGGCATGGTGGAATGAATAATGCTTATGATGCGGTTCAGGGAATTCCATCTAACTCAACAGGGAAAGCCTGAAGAAAGCCCTTTCTGTCTAAAAGCCATATAACAATTGAACTCACTTTCTAGATAGTCCTAATTCTGGTGCTACTGTTTATATAAAAGCAAAGACTTGGGCTGGGGATGTGGCTCAAGCGGTAACGTGCTCACCTGGCATGCGTGGGGTGCTGGGTTCGATCCTCAGCACCACATAAAATAAAATAAAGATGTTGTCTCCACTGAAAACTAAAAAATAAATATTAAAAAAAATTTTCCCTCCCCTCCCCCTCTCTCTCTTAAAAAAAAAAGCAAATACTTTTTAAAAATGTGATTGACTTTATCCATATGTTTTGTGTTATAAACTATCCAGGAATGAGGGTTGAGACATTAGTGCTTTCATGTGTATATCATTGGATAAGTTCTTTTGGGTTGACGTATCTTCTTTTTATTATTTTAAAAATCCTTTTATATATATATATGTGTATCTAGCACCCTTCAGCCCTTCCAACTTAATCAACAAGCAGCATAAAAAACAAAGCAGCCTATCTTCATAGCTCTAGATATGGATGTCAAAGTCAGTACGGTCTTTAAAACTTCAAAAAAGTTCAAAAGTTCATGAATGATTAAGATTTCCACACTTTTGTATAACTTCCATACAGTCAGGCTCCCAGTGGGAGTTATTCAGGTTGCATTCAAAGTGAGCAGTGTCCCCTCTGACATGAAGCTATGTCGAAAACCAAAGTTTGAATTTGTGAGGACCCTGGGTGTCTCTACACTCTTTTCCTTGGGGAAACTTAATCAAATGTTATGACAGTCCTCCAACTCTTTGGTTTCAGTCCCAGTCTAACTTTGTAAAGAACTTCAAACTGTTTGCTATTTAGCTCTGTGCTAAGCGTTGTGATTTTAACAGCTCAGACAGTCCATATATGAGTGAGGGTTTAGTCACAATATTGTTGGTCTATGTGACAAGTTTTAATGAAGAAAAGGTTACATTTGCATATTCTCCGGTTCCATTAACATTCTGAAGTGAAGCCCAGTAACAAATGAGTGTCGAGTTCAGCTTCTTAGAAAATTATAGATGCTTCTTGCTTCTTATTCTCCTTTTCTTTGTCTGGTTATATGTAACACCTGTCATTTCTAGAGAGCCTACACTGTGTGCCTTCTGTGCCTGTTATTGCTGATCTCCCACCATATACCAGAGCAGGAATTACGATTTCAGGGAGGCAGATGGACTCCAAGTGCACCTATGTGGCAAGTACTCCCCACCGCATTCTGACCAGTGGAGGCTCAGGGGCAAGCTGGACAGACTTGAGCCCATGGCTGCAGAGAAAGTTGATGGGTCAGCAGGGTTCTAACCAGGTTTGGCTCCATCCAGAAAACCTTTCCCATTAACCCACCCTGCCTCTGAGGGAATAGCAAGAAAGAAAATAGTTTCAAAATGGCAAATGTTGCTACAAGCAAAAGCAATCTTTCTCTTTTCACTTCTGTTTCTTCACATAAGCATAATGTCCAAAGGGATACATGCCAATAAAAAGGGAGGTTCTTAGAAAATTAGATGGTGTTACATGAATTACAAAAGAAAAATATATCCCTGTAGCAATCTTAGCATTACAATTACTAGAATATATCTAGCTCTGAATAGTTTACTAAGCACTTACCAATTGATGGTGTCTTCCATGAGAACAGTGCTATTATTCTCTGTGATATTACTCTGTTATTAGATTATGCTGTTACTCTCTGTTTCATCTATGGAAGCCAAAGTCAACAAAGACTAGGGGACTGTCCCATATTTACAAGATATAAGAGTTAAAGACAGATGTTCAAGTTCTGAACTCTTTTCCACTTTTTCTGATGCCAAATCCTGAGATCATCCTCCTACAGGATCCAAGGAACTGAGGCAGGAGAGAGTGATGCCCACCTGTCTCCAGGGTGACCAGCACAGAGAGCTGGGATGCAATGTAGAAGGCCAAGGGGACCTCCTGTCCCTTTACCAGGAATGCTGGGAGCCACCTAGGGTATGAAGCAGGAAATGGAGTTAGCCAAGTTCATTTGTGTATGGTTAGATGACAGTGGGAAGGGCAGTGAGGTGGGAGGTGACTGACAGTTAGAACTAGGTCTGTGGAGGTAGAAACAGGGATGGGTGGGTGCTTGGGATTCCAGAGGTTTGTGGCTAGAAGAGGGGTTAAGCTGGTGCCAAGTTCCTTCTGACCTATCAGTAGGGAGCTTGGATCTCTTCTGGATTCATGATTCTTAGGAATGTTCATCAGTCCCATATGAATTTTGGGGAGTGATGTGTGGATACACATGTTTACATTGTATGCATGTGTTTAAAAAGTCTCTAAGTCTTCTCCCCTGAAGCTCTTGTTCAAAAGGTAGGTTCCATGAGCCTTTGTCTAATAGAGCAATCAATTACCACCTGGTTAATAAAATAGACTGAAATAAGTTCTTCACTAATCACTTCCCAATAGCCTAAACTTACTGAATTCATCTTGGCCACCCATTGTCTTAAGTTTGTAGCTGCCCTGCAGATTTTGATGTGATTTGCAAGGCATAGAATTCTAGAGGGCTACTTTCAGGAGAAGGACCATGCTATCTCCATATTGCAGAGGTGGTTTGGGATCGTGCAACAAAAGGAAATTAAATTTGAAAGAAGAGCCAGCTTCATATATTTAGTCTATAATGGTTTTCTACTGTGATCAAATATAAAGAAGGATTCAGCATCAGCAGTCACTTATATGTGTTTCCCAGCAAATGTAGTATTGTGCTATGTGTCTTGTTGAGAATGCGCATGTATCTGCCTCCGATGGTATGTAGATTTATTGAATAGTCAGTGCACATGAAATCAAATGCTTTGTCTTTCCAATAAAAGCAAAGCCACTTCAAAAGCCTTTCTATTTCATAGTGTCTTCAGTAAAGCAAGCACCAACACGTTTCAGGGTTTTCTTGACAGCTCTACCAGTTGTGATAAAGGAAAGATAAAGAGAACAGGTTAGAACCTATGAGGAAACTTTTAACCTTTGTCTGTTCCTTTCCATCCTATTTTTCATGACTTCTCCGTGCAGATGACAGCGCTGACCTGGCATCAGTAGGACGCATGCTTTTGAGTTGTTTCACGAGGAGTAGGAGTAGATGCTGCACAGCCATCTCATTCCTCCTGCAGCCCATCTTTCAGATAAATAGCACCCTTCTGTGCCTTGTGGGGTCAAGTTTTTATCTGTGGTCTCAGAGGTTGCTTTTTTATTTCTCAGTTAAAATTGTTTTTCTGCTTCAAGAATAGAATCCATAGAGTTGGTCCTGTCAGCATTGTGATTTAACTGGTTGAGCTGAGAGATTTCAAAAAAAGAATATCCATTTGGACAATGGTACAATATCCCTTCTGATTTAGGATATTAAAGCATATTCCTTAAGTTTAAATTAAAAAATAGATTTTTGGAGTAGGTCAGATGTAAGAAGGAGGACTCAGGAAAAGAATATTTAGTACATAAAAGTATTAACATTTTGTGAATACATCAATGTATTTAAATAGATAATTTCCTCTTAAAATGTCATTTTGGTTTTTGTACTTTTGTCCCCAAAAAAGCATTAAGGGAATATGTCTATGTTTTATCTTTTCTTTTTTAAAAATTTTTGTCTACTTTTTTCAGGACTAAAGCTCTTCTATTTTTTTAATTGGTTGTTCAAAACATTACATAGCTCTTGACATATCATATTTCATACTTTATATTCAAGTGGGTTATGAACTCCCATTTTTACCCCAAATGCAGATTGCAGAATCACATCGGTTACACATCCACATTTTTACATAATGCCATATTAGTAACTGTTGTATTCTGCTACCTTTCCTATCCTCTACTATCCTCCCTCCCCTCCCATCTTCTCTCTCTACCCCATCTACTGTAATTTAATCCTCTCCCTTGTTTTTTTTCTTCTATTCTTTTAAAGTAAGTTTATAAAAACAGCAACCACGAAAGTGAAAATAATGATGATATCAGCATCACCTACTATCATGAATTATATTTTCTCATATCTGAAAATTTAGATAAATGCCATGCCTCAGGTTTTTTTTTTAAATAATATACTAGGAAAAAGTGATCTCTACAAAGTATCCACTTAAGCCAATTTAAAAAAGTGTCTATATTAATATGATCATGGGTCATCTTGTAATTTTTCATAATCATAATCTTTATAAATGTGGAACTTGAGTTGATACATTTAACTTCATATATATATATATATGTGTGTGTCTGTGTGTGTGTGTGTGTGTGTGTGTGTGTGTGTGTATATATATACCCACACATATATATAGGTATGTATGTACATGTAATCTTTTTTTTCCTTTTAAGTTCTAGGGATTGAACCCAGGGGCACTTGACCACTAAGCCACATCCCCAGCCCTTTTTGTTTTCAATTTTGAGACAGGGTCATGCTAAGTCACTAAATTGTTGAGGCCAGCTTTGAACTTGTGATCCTCCTACTTTAGCCTGCCAAGTTGCTGGGATTACAGTCGTGCACCACCATACCCAGCTCTATGTGTCTAGAATCTTATATAATCAATGTGTATGGATGCACTTAAAAACTATTTACATGAGTTGATCTTTTCAGGATGCTCTCTTAGATGTGTCTATGTGTAAGGAAACCAGAACAACAATTGCGAAGTATTTCTGTGTAAACTAGTATGTACAATTCATCAGTGTGCTAACCAGATGCCACAGTCTAGAGGGCTCATCCTCATGTTCTCCTGCCTTCCTTTTGTTCAGAGAATTTGGATGGAGAGACCCAGAACTGCCCGAAGTGATCCAGATGTTGCAACATCAGTTTCCTTCAGTCCAGTCTAATGCTGCAGCCTATTTACAACACCTCTGTTTTGGAGACAATAAAATTAAAGCTGAGGTAAGCACTACTTGGATTCTCAAATGAAAGGTGTCAGATGAGTAAGTATTCAGAATCTTTTAGAGAAATGTCAATGGGAAAAGACGTCAGTTAAACTAAAGTTGTGTTCTCAGGTTTAGATCTCTCTTTAAGACGGAATCGTCATTCTTTTCTTCCAGCATTAGAATACTGAGGTATAGAGGACCAAGGATGCATGCCAGGAGTAGCAGAGGCTAGGTTACCAATGGCACATGTGGGTGTGATGTGCCTTCCTCTTCTGAATTCCATCTCTGGAGTCATCTCTGCCTCTAAGCCCTAAAAAAATGACAAAGCATCAATTTCTATCTCCTCAAATTGCAATCAATATGAGGAGCTATGGCCTATCCTTCTTGGAGAACTCATTGAAAGAACGAGGATGTTAGGCAATAAAATGGCTTTGTCTTATAAACAAGCATTTTGAAGCCATTTACAAAGGTAACAGCAGATATAATATGGATATATGTGATGCATTAAAGAGACTATTGTCTGTGTCCATCACATAAATGATTGTTAACATGCCCTGTTCTTTGGGAACACTCTATAGTGCATAGCACACTGCGGTGTGTGATTATTTCTGGAAAATCACTGTGGTCACTGCAACTCTGATTTTTTTCAGATAAGGGAAAAGAATTTGCATACAAGCAGCTGAGTAATCAATTTTTTATAAAAAGATTTTATAAGCCATAATGAGTCATCTCCATAGCATGTAAGCAATTTTGAGGATGAGTCTAAATTAGTTTAAGAGGGGAAAGAAGAGATTTGAAGATATAATTGCAATTTATCATAGATTTTGCTTGCTCGCATTGGGATATATATAGCCCCGCAGCTTTTCATCTTTTTTCCCTGTCTTCCTCTGGGACTACAGAGGACTTGGTTCATGCCCATTCTTATCAGAAAAGTCATATTTCTTTTTTGAATGAATGTGGAGCAGTGGTGTTCAACCAGGTGTGATTTTTCTCCCCAGTTTCATTTGCTGTCTGGGGACAATTTTGGTTGTCACAACTGGAGGAAGGTGTGGTGATGCCACTGGTCTCTACTGGGTAGAAGTCAGGGATGCTGCAAAATGTCCTATAATTCACAGGGAAGAACCCAGAACTACCCAGCCCTAAGTGTGAATTCTGCCAAATTTAGATTCAGAGAAAATATTGCCCACCTAAGGCAAATTTAAAATGTGAAAAAATACCTACTGTTAAAATGACCTTAAAAAGTCATCAAAGTCATGTGACTCCCATCCCCAGTGGAACTCATCTTAGTCATTTGAATAGAAAACCAAGGAGCCACACAAACTGAAGGACAGACTTCTGATGAGGGCATCATACACCAGCGTGTAAGGTTCTGAAGAATGCAACCTGGACAGTGTCTCAGAGCCCAGAAAAGCGTTCCGTCCACTGTTGGCCTGAGGTTGACTCAGGAGTGTGGTGGTATCCACCTGCAAGTGAGCTGGATCCCACTCAAATTGTGGTTCCAGCGTTGAGACTGCCAAGATCACTCTCACACCAAGAAGGTGGGCTACCCACATGGTGAGGCTTTCCAGAATCGCTGCCAATCACTCCAAAAAATGGCTTGAGAGAGTTCTGGAGAGGGTCTGGCTTGAGATCCTGGGGTGGTAGGCAATGGATTCTCTCTTGTGGACGGGGCCTTGTGTGGAGGGCGATTCTTCCTATCAGCTTGTTCAGATGAAGGGCAGCAGACAGAAAGGATTGTTGGAATTCCAGGAATCAGGGGTGTTTACCACGGAGCTGTCTCCTAGTCCTTTCTAACGTTTTTATTCTGAGACAGGGTCTTGCTAAGTTGCTGAGGCTGGTCTTGAACTAGAGAATCCTCTTCAGCTTCCCAAGTACTGAGATTGCATGCGTGCACCACTGCATCTGGCAAAACTTTATCACAAGGGATCGCCTGGTCTGGCCGTACAGGCGTCATGGTTCAGGGTAGTTTGAAGAGGCTTCCTAACTGACTCTGTATGTACTCTGGGCTCACAGCCTAGGCATGGAGGCCTCAATAGCGATGCTGGCTGGCACCTGGCTGTAGACTTACTTGTGGCCACACTGGAATTACCCTCAATGCCCTGTGGTTCACGGAGGCTGTTCGGTGAAGGGGCACATACATCACATCAGACAGAGGCAGCTTCCCACGCTGGACCCCCTGCTCATCAGTACCTGGAACAAACCAATGTTGTCTACTGGAGCCTCTTACCTTTAAAACAGAGATGTGGATACCTTTGAGGGGATTAAGGGACTTGGTGTCTGCAGACTGCTTAGTGGTGGAACATCCACTCATCATCACAGGAACCTAGTTAAGACACTGAAGCTATTTTACCTTTAGAATATATGTGTGCACATGTGTGTATATATATGTCATCTCTGTGCGTGCATCTGTGTGTCTGCGTATATCAGTGTGTACTTATTTTTACTTTGTTGTGGGTCCCCTCCAGGTCATCTGTATTACCTCTTATTATTTGGAGTGCCTGCCAACAGCTGACCCTTAAGTAGTGGTTCAAATTATCCCAGCCCTCCTCACTGCACCTGATAGATTACTGGCTCCATGATGATGGTTCCTGGTACCTATGAGGCTGGGGTGAGGGAAGGCAAGGGTGGTGTAGGACTAGGGGCATGCCTGATATCAAATGGAAAGCGTGAGATCAAAGATCAGAGATGTGCAAAGGGCCTAAATAAAACCCAGAACAAGCAGCCCAGAGCTTTCCTTCCTGTCCACCCTCAGTCACATGGGGAGGTGTACATGCATGCAAAACTCTGATAAGGATCCTCCAGACCTGTTTTGTTCTCTCATCCCTACTCAGAGCCCAGACTATTCGTAATGGGTTCTCTGTTTGTGACGGATGGCTGCCTGTCATGTTTTCATACACAGGTATTGATTTTCGTAATTACCTGTTGTCCAAATACTAATCTTGCAGGCACTAGCCTTTCCAAATTTACTCAGTCCTCTAGTCTTTCTATTGCGTTTTATTGGATTGATTTAGCCCTTCAGTCTACATTTCATTATTGGTATTGACTCTGCTCACACAATGGATAGGCCATTGAGCAAAAGGCAAAATTAAATCTCCTATATGTGGAGGCCATAAATCATGCCTTGCTCGTTCCTTATTACAGTGCTTTGTACAGATTTCATATAATGAAGCCAAGAAATTCAGTTTTGTTCAAAATGATGCTGGATCTTATAGGTACAAAGTAGAGAATTCACTGCCATAAATCATCGACGAAAGCCCAGTCCTAACTTCTCCTCGTGGCCTAGTGAACTGGGGTTTGAGAGCCTCCTGGTGCACCTCCCAGAATTCAATTTGATTGATTTACAAATGTGTGTTTAAGTAAATGATTTTTAAAAAATTAAAATAATTCCTTTTGGTCACTTAAAAATGTGGAAATATTTTTCAGTCTCTAGGAGACACATTACCTCGAATGCTGCCATTTAGGGAACCATGGGTGCGTGTGTGTGTCCTGGCTCCATCATAACTCTCAGGTGTGAGTGGGTCTTCCTCTACCTGCTGTTTTCATCAGAAGAAATGAGGAGAAATGCGGGGAAAAAAAAATACAGCATAAATAGAATGCTTCTGGTTTCAGGAGAGAGTGCCAGGTAGGGTCCAGCTTGTGACTTAGTCTCTAGTGACTTAGGTGAAGTTTGCATTCCATGGGTCGTCCTGACCCAGAGTCGGACATTTAGCGATTAGCACAGATCAGCCAGTGTGATTGGAGGACGTCACATAAGCAATGAGTCAGAGGTGGAAAGAGATGAGATCTGAAGCTGAGCAGCTAAAGAAAATTTAAAAGAGGTTGTAGGAAGCCGGAGAGGTGAAGAGGGGGCTAGGTTCTGATCACAAACACGCCACATGTGTGCGGCTCCTTTTCATGGACAGTGGCTATCTGATCTGTAAGCGGGTCCACCTGTGTTAATGGGCAGAGGCACCATTAGGGTGGATAGATGTCACTGGTGTGTGAACAATGCCTGCCGTCCACACTGTCTCCTACATTGTTGGCAATGTCACGGTAAATTGAGTTTCAGAGGAATTGTTAGACCAGGCAAGTGGCTTATGTGTACGGACT